TAACAAACAAACAAGCGTGTAGAACATATAAACTATGTAAAAAAAGAATTACAAGAATAAGTTAAACATTCTTAATTGATCTCTTCACTTGATCATAGTGGGAAATGATTTTTATTAGTTATACAACTTTTTTTTAAATTTACATTACATTTATGTTGATTTTATGAAGTATAACTTTCAACTAATGTTATGAAGAGGTTCTTAATTATTACTGAGTTAGCAAAACTCTATGATTTATCTGCAGATGAATCTTTAACACACATACCCATATATATATATATGTGTGTGTGTGTGTGTGTGTGTGCATACGTACATTTGAAATCAGTGAAAATAATAAATAATGAATTTAAAAAAATGAATATTAAAACATAAGTAGGCCTTAAAGTAACCATAAAAGTAGTTGTAAGCAATTTGTACTAAATGTTTTAATAGAAAGTGACTACATATTTTTAAATGAAATGCACAACTAATCTAGAAGTTTCTGATAAGGTTGTTTAGTTGTTTTATTTTGGTATAAGGTTTATAAAATAAGGCCAAAAGTGAGATTCTTTCCATCTATAGCTCTCTTATAAGATAGAAAATTACACTTAGAATTATAACGACATTGCTTTATTTATATTTTTTGTAACACAGGTGAATACAAATAATTATAATACATATAGGAATCCCTGCAGCATTGACTAAACATTAGCAAATAACAATGAAATTTGTAATAATGTCTAAAAGTTTACATGTTGAAATTTTCTATACGGAAAAAGAAGCTCTTATATTTGCAAATAAATGTGCGGACAAAATTTCTAACTTGATGTATTGCATAAAGTCTACAATATTTTTGTAAAATGGGCTTTCACTTCAACAGATCTGGTGGGCCAGCTGGAGAGGAACGACTTCGGAGGCCTTGTAACTGTTCCAAATCTCAGTGCCTGAAATTGTAAGTTTTTGAAATGTTGAAATACGTCTTAGATATACCATTCTGATGTTTGTGTGTGTGTGGGAATAAATCATTCATCATCGATTGTCCGATTTTGAATATTTTTTCTTTTAGAAAGTTAAATTTAAATAGAATATTACATATTACCATTTATGGATGCCAAGAACTGATACAATGCCTTATGATTCTGCATGCCTTAAGCACACTTGAGTCTGGATGTTGAAAGTAAATATACATACTCCACACTATGGCTGGTAATCTACTTTTTTCTGTTTTCTTCAAATCTTCCTTCATTGATGTTTGTCTTTAGGCAGGTCCTGTCTCCTCACAATCTGTCCAAAATATGTCATTTTTTTTTTATGATATCTTCCAACAATTTTCTTTATCACATCATGTTTATTCCAGCACATTTATTCATATTTATTTTGGATGCTCAGTATTATCAGCACTGCTGTAGCACCACAATTCAAAGCATTTATCTTCTTTTCATCACTCTTCCTTAATGTCCAACTTTAGAAACCGTGAGTTGCTGGTGGGTATATAACTGATCTGAACAAACAGAACTTTAATGGTAATGTTAACCTTCAGTCTGTCCATACAGCTATCATTTTAACCATAAGCTTTCTTACTATTATTGACCTTTTAATACCTAGAGAACAATTTTCTTTGACATTACTTGTGGATCTCAAATGTTCAAATTGTTCAACTTTGATTTCTTACTTGTTCAACTCTTTCTTTACATATGAACTTTATCCATCACCATAACCTTTGTTTTCTTTCATTTAGCACTTATTATTTACTCTTTAAATCAGTCTTCACGGGTGTTTTTTTATCACAAGTCTGAACCGTGTTATCTGCATAATGCAAGTTGTCTAATAATATCTCACCCAATTTTATTCTTCCTTCAAACACTTCTAACATTTCTCTTATAATATTTTCCACATGTGTGTTAAAATAATCAGGCAACATGGCACATCCTTGACAATGTTAAAATAATTAGGCAATATGACACATCCTTCACAGTGTTAGGCAGCATGGCACATCCTTCACAATATTAATATAATTAGGCAACATGGCACATCCTTGACAAACTTCCTCTCCAATTTTAAATAGTTTGCATTCCCACTGCCAGTTTTTATTGCTGACTCGTACCATTCGTTAATTTGCTAATATGACTAATAATGTGTCTGGGAACTCCCACCCTGTCCATTGTTAACCACATCTTCTTGTGTTGAACACATTTGAATACATTTAGTTAATCTAAGAAACACAGATATAACCAGTTTCTGTACTCTTTACACTTTTCTATCTCTAGTCTCAGTTTAAGGATTTGTTGCTTTTCCTTCCATGAAACCTGCCTGCTTGAATGCTACTGATTTATTCTTATAAATTATTTAGCAGACAAAATGTGATGAGTAAAATAAAACTCAAAACAATATACATGTGATATGCACTTCACACTATATGAAGCCTAATCTCGTACTTTCATTTTTCCTTTGCCAGAGTTGAGTTACTGATGAGGTGAGGAATTCCCAAAAGCCAGTTTAACTTGGTGATAAGTGGTGAATTGAATGATAGATTGGGCTTCCTATGTATTTTTAGTATAGGGTGATAATAAAGTTTCACAGTTCAATGCATCTTTTTTCTTTCTTTTTTTTTCACATAGGAAGGAGAAATTTTATAGGAATGTTAAGGGTGTCATATGGATGCAAATGCCACAGTTGTCACATGTTGCCTCTTACAAGCAGACCATTGATACTTACTTAAGGTTCCCCCGGGCCTTAAAAACTCCTTAATTTTCATTTTCATTTTTAAGAGCCCTTAAGAAGTACTTAATTTTGGCTGAAGTTCATTTTTGTCTTTAAAAAGTCCTTAGTTTTATTCTGAACCTACTTTTATGGTTATCGAATGTTGCCACATTCTGATGAATTAAGAGTAAGGTACAGCTGAGTCTCTGAGTGGTTTACACAGTAATTATGCATTGTAACCATTTCTTAGCACTTGTGTGAGTCATTAGTTTTCATCGTCCATGATTAATAATTGAATATTTAACATTGCCGTGTGTTTTAGCAGTCCTTAAAAAGACCTCAATTTTTAGAGTGGAAAAAAAGAATGGGAACCCTGGTACTAGAACTGTTGCTGAGGTCAGAACACAGCAGAACAAGCCAGCACAAGTGCATACATGAGCAAAGCAATGTACATTATGTCATTTGGTTTCTAGATTTTCCAATTTCAGCTGTTTGTAAGGGCTCTTTGAGCAACTTTGCAAATGTTTCTTTACAAGCTGCATCGTGTTCAAGTACTGAAGGAGACATTTACCCTAACATGTTGATTTTGCATTGCATTTCTTGGCAAGACTCAAACTTGATGACCAATTGACTGCTAATAGCTTGTGGACTGATAAAGCACACTTCACCCTTTCTGGAACTATCAACATTGGCAACTGTATTAGCTAATAAGAAACTTATCACTTGTAATATTTTTCACACACCTCCATGATTGTAAGGTGTCAATGTGTTGTTGTTTCAATGCTAACTTTGTTACTCGACTTTACCTTTTTGAAGTACCTTCAGCACAAACAACAAATCTGCGTAGTCACCATTGCACAATATCATGCTGCATCAATGAAATGTGATAGTTACTACAGTTTTCTGCAGTGCCCTTCTGCATATTTGTAACTTGGTGAAACATGTCTTTTTTGGAGCACTTTCAGGAAAGAAATATTTTGCATAACTTTTCTTTTGAATGGCCACTTCGTTCACCAGACATGACATCAGTCGGTTTCTGGTTGTGGAGTTATCTGAAATGATGTGTATACCATAAGAAGCCTCTCACAATTCCAGACCTCAAGGATGCAATTTTTTTGGAAATTGACTAACATACCAGTTGAAATGCATATTGTTATTGTAATGTCAATTTTCACGTAAATGCAATGCATTCTGGATGCAGGAAGAGTGCATTTTGAACAGTTGCTGTGATTGATCAGACATTAGGTCACAGTGGTGCCCCTGCCAGCAACATGTTGCAATCCTGTTATTTGCATCCATGTGATATTCTTAGCACCTCTGTGCAATTTCACCATCCTATGCCATACCATTTGTGAGATATGATGTGCTGAACTGTAAAATTTCTTCATAAACACCCTGTATCCTAAACAGATTGCCACTGAATAATTTAGAAGAATAAATTAGAGCATGAATGCTTCAGATTGTTCAACTTATATATAAATAGAGATTTACTGTGGTGATGAAAAGACAACTCAAAACTCCATACGTAAAGGATAACTTTTGTTTCTCTGTCTGGTAATTTGTACAAAGCAATCTCTCACAGTATTCTTTCCCCACCTTAAGTACAGTAAAACTGAATTCTAAGAATGCTTTGATGATAATCTTGAAATCACCTAATATGTTTTGATTATTACTTGAATCCTTTATATTTGTATTCTGTACAGTATAGGTTTCATCCAAAGTTTTAAGGATAAGGTTTTGGTGTGATTTGTAATCTATGATCTGGTGTCTGAAGATGTTATCAAAAATTTTGAAAATGCCAAGTGTATCTTTTTACTCAATATTGGACATACTTTGGAGGAAAAAAATGATCAGTCAGGATCTAATTACCATAGTTTTTCTATGAAAATATTAAATACATCTAGTGAGGTAAAAAGTCAGGTAAATTGATGTTATAATGATGTATGTTGACACTTAGTTTGTCATTATTTATGTTAAATAGATACCTTTCTTTATACAATAAGTATCAAATCCTGTTCACAAATGTAGATATACAATATTTACTGATATTTAAAAGGTGAGCAAAAACATAAAAGTAACAGAATAACACAGAAATATAATCAGAATGTTCTTACTATATATGGTGTATTGAAATTACAGATGAAAGTTTGAGAATTTTTAAGATAGTCGTTTATTGGGTAGATATTCCCTAGAAATTTTTAACATGTTAATTATTGTGCTATTCCCATTTGTATCAGCACAATTTTTTAAAAATAATTTTAAACAGTGATATAGATTTGTATGACTGTTTTATAATATATGAAATATAATTGATTAATAGAGTACTGGTATTTATCTTTTTATGATTTGATGACTAAACATGTTGATGTGTTTTCCAGTGTTAATGAAATATCTCGTACTAATCCAGACTAGTATACTGATTTTAAATATTTGAGTTTAGAAATATGTACTTCCTCTAAAGTATCTTAGGTGATTGGATTAAACTTTTTTTTGAAGGTTAATGTTCTCTCTATTTTTATGTACATCTTCCTATTTTCAGGCCCAGCATGGCCAGGTGGTTAGGGCGCTGAACTTGCAATCTGTGGGTTGCGGGTTCAAATCCCCGTCCCACCAAACATGCTCGCCCTTTCAGCCATGGGGGCATTATAATGTGATGGTCAATCCCACTATTCATTGGTAAAAGAGTAGCCCAAGAGTTGGCAGTGGGTAGTGATGACTAGTTGCCTTCCCTCTAGTGTTACACTACTAAATTAGGGATGGCTAGCACAGATAGCCCTCTCGTAGCTTTGTGGGAAATTCAAAACAAACAAACAAACCTATTTTCCAGTTTTTCATTTTAAAGCTTCACATCATACACATTTTGAATATTTTATTGTAGCATTGACAAGTAGAATAATAATTTATCTTTTGACAAATAGCTTGGATGTACCAAAAACAGTGTCAGTGGGATTTCTGTATTTGTTATCAGTTCTCAATTGTCCAGTAAACAAACTTCATCATATTTTACTATTTCGTGCAAAGTCAATAGCATGAAAAGACTTGCCAAAGTTTTCATTATATTTTGATTGTTTGCAAAGTTGTTATTTTTTCATATTTACTTTGTACTATGGTTATGGAAGTACTAAAAATTATATATGTAAATAATTTTTGTATGGAATGTATTTCATACTGTAACTTTTGTTTCCCAATCTAAAGAATACATCTCTAATTTACCACTATAGATACTGTGACTGTTACGCCAAGGGTGAATTTTGCAAAAGTTGTAATTGCAATAATTGCTACAACAACTTAGACCATGAAGAAGAAAGGCAAAAAGCAATCAAGATCTGCTTGGAGAGAAATCCTTTCGCTTTTCATTCAAAAATTGGTAAGAAATTTCAAAGTGGTCTTGTTTTTCATAGTAGTAAATGCAAGTTTTTGAAATATAATAGTGATTGGAGAAGAAGAAAAAAAAAATCATTGGGAGAACTTGCATATTGAATGGGTTTAACATAAAAACAAATACTGTTATAATTATATCCGTAATAGTTGATAATTTAACACATTAGCTAAAATCACAAACTAATTTGTAGATGCAAATATCCTCCAAAAAGGCACTTTTTTTTTAAAGATGTTTTCTGCTTCTTGGGAGACTTTAGGAATATGCTTCATAAATAGGTTTCACTACCTCAGGTTAATAATCTAACTAAATCTAAGTTTAGATATACATAACATAATTGTTGCATTGAAAAGTGAAATAGTTATACTTTTTATTGCGGTAATAATCCTACAACCTTGCTTTACTTTAAAAGACTTGTAATAAGTTCATTTAAAGTATCATTTTTATGGTTAGTGGCCTAAACAATCACCTATGTCTGATTATTAATTACTAATTTAAAAAATTATTTATTTTTTTACAGTTCAGTTAGGCCTAGGCCTTACCTTTTGAAGGCACTAACAAATTATTGATAGTTATTTTGTTTCTCACTAGCGAATTGGAGACAAAATTAGCGAAGCAGTACCAGCTACTCTTAAAATTAAGTGTAGTGTGTCATAATTATTTCATGTATTCAATGTTTATAAATATACAACTTATTTATATACATAAATCTTCTGCTTCAGTGTTTTCAACTATTTCACAAAAGTTATTATATGCATGATTCAACATCGACAGAAACTGGTGTATTTAGACTGCCAGTACTTGAATTGACAAAATCTACATCACCCCATTGCTTACCTTTTATTATTGAAAGCTACAGTTTAAATACCAAAAGTTGGCAAAGCATTAAATTGTATATTATTAACACAAATGTAAGGCCTACTGACTTCTAAGAAGGATGCAGAAAATAACATCCATGGTTCGTGTGATTTCTATTTTATTATTACTTCCAATGAGCAAACACTTGAGTACAGTATTTCTAACCATACTGCCTGTGAAACTATGCTTTGAGTATAAAAGGTTACTATAATTGTGATTAACAGGATTATTCCCATTTACCACTGGTTTTGTGATCCCCCATTTCAACTTCATGGCATATCTAAACAAAGTAAAAGGAAATAGGGACAGCAAGACAATAACTTCAACTTGTTTGATTGATTGACAGGATAATTAACACACGGGCCAGTTAATTAGACTCGCATCAACCATCCTCTGCGATCTTGTAACATAAGTGACTAAAATATATGTATCCTGGATGTATTGAAATTCGATGATAAGAATCTGTAAATATTTCTTCTGAAATATGTACTAACACTTTTTTAGTGCCTTTTACATTTTACTAGTGAAACTGTAACACTAACCAGCAATTTTTAGTACAAACATTGAATTTGAGCCCTCTATCCATATACTAGTTATGAATTAGTTTTTATCCTACGTTTCAGCTGCTAACCTGCTGAAGTCTTCAAAGAAATCCTGATAAGGACTATTCCTATGTTGATAGTAAAGACAGTGGCAGATTAGCAGCCAAAACCTAGGATAAAAAGTAGTTAGTAATTAGTAGCTAGTTAAAAAAAGGTAAATAATTAGGCTTAGATGATTCATATCCAATCACCACAACCTTACTCTACATACTTACTGCATTTAAAGTAGTAGATGTCTATGAGAATTGTAGGTATCTGTATCTTATTTTGTGTATTGAAAGGTTAGAAGGAAAGGACATTGAATTATTATACTTGTTGCTTTTTCAACTTTAGTTTACAGTATTGCTTGCTTTACTTAGTGAAAAAAAAAATTCCAAGAGTTTTAATTCTCATATTACTGACTTATTTTCATATAGTTCACTGTTGATATCCATATATTGTATCATATTGAATAATTTTATCTTTTTGCCTTTTACATCACATTAAGTATATGCCCAGAAAAGTGGGCAAAGTAATTTGTTTTTCATATAAAATACATAGGGACCTCTGTTGTAATTAATGGAATTAATTTCAATATTGATGATATTTTTTTTTGTGTGTGTGTGTGTGTGTGATTCAATATTAGGGACTCTATAAACAACAAAGTCATAGACCCACAAGCAGTTTGGTGCATAAGTGATTAAGAAAAATGTGTAAAAATCCAATAGGGTCCATAGGGACTCCAGAAGTAATTCTAATGTTAATGTGATTGTAACACAGTGCTGAAAACATTGGACAAAATGTACTTTTTAACAATGCTAAAGGTACAAAAGATTTGTTGCAGCTAGTGGTAAACCTGATTCACACTTTTGGTTGAAGTTCATAAAGATAAGGAAGTAACTAAATAACTTATCCATAAAGATGTGTGAATACATTAGTGTAACTTTCTTGCTGTAATTAACAGTTTTATACTAATAAGCTGTTTTTAAGAAATGTACACTTTCTCCAAGAGATATTTGACTTGTGTTGCAATAACAGTTACAGTTCATATTGTATAGTAGTAATAAATTAAAATTAACAGAATGCATTTGCAATTATGTTTCATGTATCAAACTGTACCACCATAAGGTTTAAATCTAACTTCATTTTTGGATAGCCTCAAACTTCTTATGATAATAAAATGGACAAAAAATATGCGTGTGTAAATAAAATTACACAAAGCTGCTTCTCATGGCTAAACATATAAATGTCATTTGAATATCATTCCCACACATTAATTTAGTTAGGCTGATAATACCTTGTTTAACTCAAAACTGTAGTATTTGGCTGATCTTGGTATACAGTTTATTCCAATTGAGGAACTATATTTTACATGTCATACTGTACAAAAAAAAACAAAAAAACTTTGCATAATGTCAAACATGAGACGCTTAAATTATATTATAGCCATTTAGAAAATCTTCAGACTTGAGAACAGTATTACATATATTAAACTGGAAGTTTTTCAAGATAATATTTTCCTGGTTGTAGGTTATAAAAGAGCACCTTCAAACTTTTGACAATGCTTTAAATGAGATTTATTTCCTACTCATTCCCATGAATGCTCCATTAAATCAAATTTATCAAATTAAATCACTGATTTAATGTATCCTCTAGCATAAATTGTAATTAACCTAAAGGTTTGACATTATGCCTAGTTGTGAAAGTATTAATCAGTTTTATCATTTTTTTTTAAAGTCTTTGTCTAATAGTTCATATTTCAACTTCTTCATGATTATTATTGTTACCCAAAGCCATGAGCACAGTCCTACTGCAATTAATTGGAAAAAATGGAAGTTTTCAATGCCTCCTCCCTACAATTCTCCACCTATGTAACACTAATTGACCCCCAAAAACACTTGAAACCTCAAAGGAGCTTCCCAGTACATTTCCGTAATGCTACGATTGAAAAATATTTTTCTCAGCCTTGCACCTCTGAATTGCTTCTTTTTCCTGTGAGTAGGATTAGTGACTTCTTTAAAAGCAAAATAGTGATAATAATGACTGGAGACGGCTTGAATGGGTAATGAGGAAAAACTTTAATATAAGTTTAACATAACAGCAAATGTACAACGTTTCGATAAGGTTTTGTCATCATCAGGACCTGATGATG